CATTTTACCTGGTTCTCCTGGTCCTAGAGACAAAATCGAGAACAAGGACATTAAAAATGAGATTGTTACAAATATGTCAGATGGATCTTCTTCCCTGACATTCAGGACAGTGCGAGCAACAGCTCAGATCCTGTTTTGCTAGACACTTCTGCACCTGACGCACTCACCTTAGGCTCCAAGTCTTGCTCTACTATTTCAATAGTTGAATCTGCGCTTGACGCATTGATCTAAGGTTCCAAGCCTTGTGCTACTATTTCAATAGTTAAATCTGCGTTTGACGCATTGATCCAAGGCTGCAAGTCTTGTTCTACAATTTCAATAGTTAAATTTGCGCTTGACGCATTGATCCAAGGCTCCAAGCCTTGTTCTACTATTTCAATAGTTGAATCTGCGCTTGACGCATTGATCTAAGGTTCCAAGCCTTGTGCTACTATTTCAATAGTTAAATCTGCGTTTGACGCATTGATCCAAGGCTGCAAGTCTTGTTCTACAATTTCAATAGTTAAATTTGCGCTTGACGCATTGATCCAAGGCTCCAAGCCTTGTTCTACTATTTCAATAGTTGAATCTGCGCTTGACGCATTTATCCAAGTTTCCAAGCCTTGTGCTACTACTTGAATAGTTAAATCTGCGCTTGACACATTGATCCAAGGCTCCAAGTCTTCTACTACTATTGTGATAGGTACATCTGCGCCTGACGCATTAAAGTAAGGTTCTAAGCCTTCAATTACAAATGCAATTGTTGCATCTGCACCTGACGTATCATTCAAGGCCTCAAACCTCCAAAATAATATTCGACCTGAACTCGATTCAGGAATATAGGAGTTCCTGGGCCATCGAAGCCTCATGATGCCGAGATCTCTTTTCAGAGTGATCTGGAAGCGCGTTGCAGTTTCTGGCTGGTCTCGAATTTGTTGAGGCACAAATTACACAGATTTATGAAAATATCCACCAAATCAGAATTCAGAGATTGCTTTTATCTCCACCGACCCGTTGATCTACAGAGATAAAGAATTTTTAATCAATCTCAAAAGACGTAGGTTCTGCTCTCGTGGCATTGGAGACGACTCCTCGAAGTCTGCTCTAGGAAGAGAAACTAGATAATCTAGTCCTCTTCCAGAAGTTGTGTGGTTCAAGAAAAATAAATTTTTAGTGCCTTTGAGGCTACAGCTCCAGTTTAATTTTTGTATGGCTTCACATTTTTCAAGAAGCTTGAGAAGATTAAAATGAATCTTCAAAATTGTGTCAAGGTTTGGAGATTTATTCACCTCTACAGGAGAATCTAAATTCATTGGATTCAAAGGAGCTTGTTTTGAGACATAGAGTTAAAACAAACGGTTCAAAAACCTTGCATGCCTCAGGTTGAACAACAGGTCCAACCGGGGGCATTTCTTCATTCGTCCCAATGATTCTCGATCGACGTTAGCGTCTTCAGAGTTATCTTACTTCAAGAGAGCAAGAAGTAATGGCAAAAATCTCTACAGCCATTCTTGAGCATTTCCTTCCCAATGGAAATTAAACTGTTCTAATAGTATTATTCTAGAGAGACTGAAGAGTCATAAAAGCCTCTTCAATTCTGGCCCTTACCAATCGGTAATTCCTCAAGAATTTCAAATCTTTGAACTGGAGGGACAGTCCTGAGGGACGGGTAAACAGATATGTGATCATAGAGGTAGTTAAAACCTCTATATTACTATCAGAATCCTATCAGGATCAGCTCGTCCCATTGTGACTTTTTGTTGGTGAACCACATGATTAGGAATAGTTAATTTTTCACAATAAAAGGTTGAACAAATTTATGAGAACTCATAATTTCAATTGAAGGACCTGAAAACCCTCGCAAAACTAATACTTTGTGACACATTCACGGCTGGAAATGTCTTCAAAGTCGTATATTTCCTGCCCCGGTACACGTCTTTCTTGTCTGAGCCATATTAAAAAGCAAAAAGCGTTGTGAATACCTTAATTTGATCAATGAATTTTATAAGTTTTGCCTAGAAACACCTTATGAAAGATGATATGCGTTATAGCGATTTACGCAATAAATAGTCTATTTCATCATCTGCAATCTGGAAAATTTATTCCATTGGAGTGTGTTTTCACCTCGTAAGCTCCTTAAAATGTATGGATCTGCATTGGCATTGAGTATACGCTGCACTGAAAAACTTGGAAGAATTTTAAAAAAGTCAAGATGATCATTAATTATGGAAATTTTGAATGATCTCTTGTTCTCCTCAGCCAGATCTTCCTTAGTAGCTCTTAATTGAGCTGATTAGTCTAGAACAAATATGCTTTCAGATGCAGCCTTCTTACGTTGGAAATCTACCTCTGCGTTAAAATATCAAGTCGAAATATCTGCCCAGTATAAGAAAGTCACAACAATATAAATTCGTCAATGTTTTGACCATTCACCTAGCTCTTAGGTGTTTTTTCACGACCTATGATCCTGTCAGTGTTTGCTCAAATTTGATAACATCGCAGGCACTTCCTACGTTAACGGGTTGGAAGGTACAAAATTCTCTCATATGAACAAATCAGTTCGAGAGTCCTAGCACTATTGCGAAGGCGTCGATCGAATGAATCTTACAGTCCTTACAATGTGAATACTGGACACGGAGAGAAAAATACGCCATAATTCCGTGAGAGTCCCTCCAAAAATTAGTGTGCTACTCACTAATGCTGGGATATAACAGGAGGTCACCAGAAAATTCGTATGTGGCACCCTAAGTTTTACGGGCATCGCGCGAAGTAGTGGCGCAAGTCCCTCTAAAAATTGGGGTGCCACATTCAAATTTTTCGATGACCCCCTGTTATGTCCCAGCATTGATGAGTAGCACACTAATTTTTGAAACATTTTTTTCTCAGTGGAGCTGTACATTGCAATCTAAGTTTTTCAAAACTTAGATGAGAAGGATTTTTTCACTCCAAAAATGGACCTTTACTGTCTCTCTTGTCCAAATACAAACGGAATCTCTAATGCGTGTAGCACAGCAATCTCCTTGCAGTGTCGACTGAAACCTTCTCAATCTCGATTGGTGACAAAATTTTCTCTACGTATCCCCTACATTTAGCCTGGGAACAAATTGTGAATTTGTCACAATTCGTAGAATTCCAATCGTGAGACCGATGGTATAATGGTCTCCCCCTGTTAGATAGTTCAACTCTGCTTCCTTGCTTTCATTTATCCCATGTCAGAAACAATTTAAGATATCAAATCCTTGAAGGATCTTTTACTTTCTCCTGGTACCAGGTGCATGTGTTATGACTGATGTTAATGTCTCTCTTTGCCGTTAACAAAGTCTACTCTTAAAAAATTGTGGATTTTTATAAATGAAAGAAAATTAACTGCTGTTCGACATCTAGTTCGATTATCCTGCACATTTCTAATGGCAAGTTCAAATAAGGAACAGCGAATGAAACAGTAAACTCCACCAAATCGAGAAGCAGTGGGAAACAAGCAGGGGTTGAAGCCTATTTGGGAGAGGGCATCTGACCGTTACTTGATGGGTTATCACTTTTTTATTTTTTTCGCCATCAATAAATTGATGGCCGGCTTCCGAATGGTTTGAACCATTTACCAAGATGTCCAGAAAAACTCGAATATCTCGCAAAATACTGAAGCAATTGAGCCCATTTTGAATATCAACTATTGTTATCGTAAGTGGAAAATCCTCTTGAAATTTCAGTTGATATCCTTATTTTTGCAGGTGCTACCGATCATTTTTAGCAAAAAATAGAAAATTTGAAATATCTCGAAAGCTTCGAATGAACCGGTATATATATTTTGATTGATTATTATAGGTGACATCAAGACGAGCATTTTGAAAAAAAAAATGCAATTGGTTGAATAGTTTTCGAGATATTTAAGAAACTAGATTCAGATACAAACTTGAATATCTCCCAAACTAATAATTGGAATGAGCCCATTTTCAATACCAAACATTCTAGTGCAGAGAGGAAACTTCATGCCAAATTTCAAGTTAATATATCGATTTTTGCGAACATGAGCGTGCTCACAAGCATTTTTAACAAAAAACAAAAAAATTGAAATATCTCGAAAAGTTTCAATGAACGGGTATATATATTTTGATTGTGTTTGAAACGCAGTTAAAATTCAGTACATCAACGGTTGACCACAGATCAGCCACTTACGAAAATCTTCGGGAAACGTCGGGTCAACGGTCAGGCCTAGTCAATCACCGAATCTCAGGGTTAGTCAGTCGTAGAGAGTCGTAGCAAATGAGTTGAGCGAGCAGTATATCGTTTTTCTAAAGCTACTTTCGGTTGTCCGAACAGCGTCAGTACATCACCCGTTCGAGACATTTTGTTTTCTCAGTACATCTCCTATTTAAATTCTCAGTACAGTCTCCTATTATTCAGTATATTATTCAGAAAATCTCCAGTGTTGAATTCAGAACAGTTTGAATTAATTTCAGTGACAATTAACAGAGTGTAACAAGTGACGCTAAGGTGGTTCGATTCCACCGAATAAATCAGTATATTTTTTATAGACTCAGTGCGTTCGTTTTTCACCGGCATTTCCACTACCCCTTTCCCAATCCACCCTAAATTCAGTTTTCCCTCCAAACACATGGTCCTTCGAGCCGGATTCGGGAATCGGTAGTGTGAAATTATTCAGTGCAATGAAAAACCCACGCGGACATTCGGGGTTCACATCAGAAACTCAACGGACAAATTCAGACGTGTTTATGCCAGTGTTTATATTCTCCGGACAATAGAAGTATAAACACCATTGTCCTCCAGTGCCTCAACGTGCCGTAGAGTCGAGAGTCAGCGAGAATCACCGAGTGTTGCCGAACAGTCTCAGCACGGGCCCAGCGCCCAGCAACAGGCGGCGCCTCACAGCAGCAGAGACGACCAGTTACCGACGCAACACAGCAACTCACCGAGTGGTAAACCGCAGGCGGTCGGTAAAGTAGAAACTCTCGTACTCATTTACCAAGGGATCTGACAGGTTGTAAACAAAACAGTACATCACCATGTCAGGCTCCGAAACAGTAATTGAAGAGGAATTGCAGAACAGTAAGTAGGAAATTAAACCATCCACGAGCGCAGTAAACTCACCACCTGGAATTCCGAAGGTCATCATCAATGCCCCTGATGGAGATACGCTCAATCAAGGGGACAAATTAATTTCGGATGTCAAGCAGAGGTACTCCGAGATTATTCAAGTTCCAGAGGATGGTCTCACAGTGCATCAACTCATCCAACTGAGGCAGATACAGCTCAGGGTGGACAGTATTACGGAGGTTTATCAGGAACTCACCAAGGTCATCATGACCGACGAGGATGTCACCTCCGAGGATTTGGACGGCCACGATAGGATCCTGGATTCCGAATGGGCAGAATTACTCACCATCCAGGGGAGCCTGATCGAGTCCATTCCACACGATCACCCGTATCTCGCGAACGGGGTATTCGAGCAGGCAGCCACCACCAGGACGCTGTGCGTCAGGCTCATCAGCAGGTTGAGGGGTCAACTAGCTAAGAAAGCTCAGCCACCCAGTACACCACCGAATCCTCAACACCACGATCAACTGAAGAGACTGGACATCAAGCCTTTTGATGGGAATCCTTCACAGTGGAAGGAGTTCAGTGACCTCTTCACGTCACTGGTGGGCAGCAAATCTACAATTTCCCCAGTGGAGAAATTGGTGAGGCTGAAGAGCAGCCTCAGAGGACCAGCAGCAGCTCTGATCTCTACGATACCCATCAGCGATCAGAATTATGAGAACGCATGGAGAAAGCTCCAAAAGAAGTACGATGATCCCAGATTTTTGGCACAGTACTTATTTAATCGAGTCCTGGAGTGGCCAAAAATCACCAAACCCACGGAACAGAATCTCACCGACAACGTGGCAGCAGTGATCGAGTCGCTGGACCAGCTCAGAACAGTGGCCGGCCTTTCAGAAGCGAACCTAACAGAACAGCTGTTCGCTCACCTCCTGAGGAAGTCCTTGGACGCAGAGACCCTCAGACAATAAGAATTGAAATTGGGAGACGCCAAGGATTTCCCCAGCCTCAAAGAGTTCGTCGTATTCGTGGAGTCCTGTGCCAGGGGTATCAACGCACGGTCCAAACTCCACTCCAGACAGCAGATCACCGCTCCCAGCAAACCACCTATTAAGAAGAAAGGAGCTTATGCTGCAACTCAACAAGTGGAGGACAGCGCTCAGCAGAACAGTCACCAAAGGAAAGAGTGTTCCATGTGCAAAGGGAACCAAGGTCAGCAATTCAAGGAGCTGGACCCAGTAAAGAGAAACGGCCTGGCCATCGACAAGAAACTATGCTTCAGGTGCCTGGGCACGCACAAAAAAGACAGGTGCAGCTTAGACGAACAATGCCACAAGTGCAAAGGATCTCACCACACTCTGATCCACGGAGGCAGCAGGTACACAGGATGGGCTCCTCCACGTCGTGACTCGGAAGCTGCAGTGTTCTCTGGAACTGCCAACAGACCTGCAGAAGAGAGGATCGACGAGGACCAGAGTAAGTGAATGTTCCTTTAATATAATCAGTACATTCACTTTCTCATTAGTCATTCTCAACAGCTAAGCCGAGTACATCAACAGCAGGAGTTAACCTCAACAATCAGATAACCAATGGAAACCAGCAGTCAAATCAACCTTCAGAAGATCAAAAATCGGTGCTGTTGGCGACAGCCCGAGTTACAGTGAAATCACCACGAGGATTCTCCATCAGAGCCAGAGTCCTCATCGATCAGGGATCAGAGGTGTCATTCATCTCAGAAAAACTAGTAAATCAACTGCACCTGTCCAGGAAATCAACAATGTTGGAATTAATCGGAATTGGAGGAGTTAATTCCGGCAGCACGAGAGAATTGGTATCAGTTACACTTCAGGCAATCAACGGAAATCAACAGGTTCAGATCAGCGCCCACAAATTGAAGAAACTCACCGCAATTCTACCATCGTTCTCATGTGCCTCAGCGAACATCAGTTCATTAGAAAATCTCCAGCTAGCAGATCAGCAGTATCTCAAGCCCGGACCAATCGATATCATCATAGGGGCTGACAACTACGGGCGAATCATCAGAGATGAAGTTGTCAAGTCCAAGCAGTCAAAAGTCGTCGGCCAACGCACAGTCTTTGGTTGGATTCTATCAGGTCCAATCAACTGCACCGGTTGTTCAGCGAGGATCTCCCTATCAGCTGTAAGGACCTCCTCAAACGAACAACTTCTAGAACTTCTCCAGAAATTTTGGGTCCAGGAAGAGTTACCAGTTCAGCAGTCAGAAAATTCAGAGATATCACCAGACGAGCTGGAGTGTGAGAAACACTTCAGGTCTACACACTGCAGAGATTCAACGGGACGGTACATAGTGAGGCTCCCGTTGAAAACCTTCACAGCAGCTCTCGGGGAGTCGAAATTCAAGGCTTCGCGTCAGCTCAGATCTACAGTCAGCAAACTCACCAATAATCAGGCATATGCCCAGCTGTACAAGGAGTTCATCAACGAGTACGAAACTTTGGGTCATATGCAAAGAGCACCAGAGATAGCAGAACCCGTTCCAGTTTATTATCTTCCACACCACGGGGTTCTGAGAGCAGATGCAATCACCACAAGGTTGAGAGTCGTCTTCAACGGCTCCAGCCCCACTTCATCAGGAACGTCACTCAACGACATTCTACATCCAGGTGGAAAACTTCAGACCAACGCCATGGACGTTCTAACATGGATGAGAAAGCACAGGCTCGTGTTTGGCATTGACATAGTCAAGATGTTCAGGCAAATACGAGTTCATCAGGACGATTGGGACCTGCAGAGAATTTTGTGGGTTGACGACAACAAACAGCAAATCTCCTACCAGCTCACCACCGTCACCTACGGGCTCAATTGCTCCCCATGGCTGTCTCTGAGAGTTCTCCAGCAGTTAGCAGAGGACGAGGGTCCACGATTTCCAGCAGCCGTCGAGACAATCACCAGAGGTCGTTAAGTAGACGACATCTACGGCGGAGCAGACTCACCAGCAGAACTCAAGGAGATAGTATGGCAGTTACAAGGACTTTGCCAGGCAGGAGGCTTCCCTCTCTAGAAATGGAGCAGTAATTCCCCTCAGCTCTTGCATGAGCTCGGCCTATCAACAGAGGAAGAAGTCATTCAGTTTGAAGAGTCCGTCACCAAGCTACTGGGTCTGTGTTGACATCAGTCGTCCGACACATTCCAGTACAAATCCAGAAACTTCAAAACAGAGACGATCACCAAGAGAATTGTCTCTTCAGAGATAGCCCAGATCTTCGATCCTTTGGGATTTATCGTTCCAGTCGTCGTCCAGGGGAAAATTCTCCTTCAGGATCTCTGGAAACTCAAATGCAGTTGGGATGACCCCCTCCCCCAAGAGTACATTCACCAGTGGGAGTCATTTCGCCAGGAACTCACCGAACTAGATAAAGTTGCAGTACCCAGATGGCTCAGACTCTCACCTCAGACAAACGACATCCAATTCCACGGATTCGCAGATGCCTCAACAGTAGCTATGAGTGCTATGGTCTACATTCGTACTCAGAATCTCAACGAGCCAGCCTCCACAGTTTTGGTCTGCGCTAAGACCAAGGTAGCACAGATCAAGTGCATGACTATTCCACGTCTGGAACTTACTGCAGCTCTCCTGTTAACTCAACTCGTAACATCAACGCAGCAGATGCTCCAGCTAGACCAGGTAGAAACTCACCTTTGGTCAGACTCAGCAGTAGCTCTCGCGTGGATCAGGAGTCCGGCCTCGAGATGGAAAGACTTCGTCCACAACAGAGTGGTAAAAATCCAAGAAACTCTCCCGAATGCCACTTAGAGGCACGTCAGTGGGAAGGAGAATCCAGCCGACTGCGCCTCCAGGGGCATAACACCAAGTCAGCTAGCAGATCATCACCTCTGGTGGACAGGACCTGATTGGATAAATCAGGACCCTGAAGACTGGCCACGATCAACTATCGATGCTCCACCAATGGACATCCCAGAAGTGGCCAAAGAAGCGAAACCAGCAAAATCTCACCCAGTCGTACAGAGAATCAACGAGATTGCCGAGCTCCTCAACAGATACAGCA